GATTACCTTCAAGCCTTTAAGACCCCAGACGCTATACTTTTTGATAGCCGGGGTGCATCCTTCTTAACAGCCTTCACACCCAACGGGCCTCGGGCCCCATGCACTGTGGCACCGTTCAGTCTGAATTCAGGTCAGCAGGAGGGGCAAGGACTGTCTGACCAGAAGCTTGGAGAAAATCAGAGCCGACAGGACTATGGTAGGAATCTCCTCCCGCCAACGCCCACCTCCCCTCTTGGTGACCCTGTCTTCCGTTCCTTCCACAGCTGCGACTGAATGGGGGCCGTAACCCCTACGAGGGCCGGGTGGAGGTGCTGGTGGAGAGAAACGGGTCCCTGGTGTGGGGGACAGTGTGTGGAGAGAACTGGGGCATCGTGGAGGCCATGGTGGTGTGCCGGCAGCTGGGCCTGGGCTTTGCCAGTAACGCCTTCCAGGTGAGAACCCCCTGCCCCAGCCCGCTCCCCATCCTTTGTTCGTTTGGGGCCCTGCTCCTCTAATCAGCCTCCTCTTTCACGAAGCCCGCCTGGGGGGACAGCAAAGTGCCATGGACTAGAGCCGAGAGTCAGAGAACCTTAGGTGGCCATAGCCCTGCTCCTTACAGCTCTGAGCCCTGGGACAGGCTACACCCCTCCCTGGCCTCTCGCCGCTCCGCTGAACGAGGAGCTGGGCTCAGACGACTGGAGCCATGCCAGCGCACGTGCAGAAGTTCGCCCTGCCCAGAGAAAGGCTCATCCTGATGTGCCTTCTTTTTCTCCTTCACTGAACTACTGTTTTGTTTTTCTAGAACAGGAAGTACCCTCATGGTCGCCCCCTTCTTTTTTCTTTTTGATTGTGGTTAAAAGCAAACCAAAAAATATTGCCACTTTAGCCATTTCTAAGTGGCCCATGATGCGGCATTTCCCACTCCGGGAGGCGCAGCCATAGCTGCTCTGTGTTGAGCTGCATCATTGAGAGAAACGAAGCAGCGGCACTCACACATAAGCATGGGGGAAAAGGCTCACTTTACTGTTAAGAAGCATATTTATATCAGGAAGACCTCCCAGCTCCAGTCTGTGGGTTCGATACTAGCTGGGGCCCTCTTCAGCATCTCCAAGCTGCGGGCCGATGATGTGGGAAGGGGAAGCGGGAAGCCAGGAGATCACAGGCTGAGGGGTGCGAGTCCGTTGGATCCAAGGTCGGTGGAAACACGGCAGAGGGCTGACCGCTCTCCAGGTCCGTGGCCAGCTGGCACCACCCTGGGAGGCCGGACATAATCTCGGCAAGGAGGAAGGCAAAGGGCAAGGGGGGTGGGGTAGTTCCAGGTGTCTGTCTTAGAACAAGGCCACACCCCCACGGAGGCAGCAGCAGGCTGTGACGTGGGGGGTAAGTTGGACACCCCCGACACTTCCACACAGGTGCAAGTTGGCATAAAAGGAACCGCTGCACTATCCAGTCCCAAACGTGTTTCCTTTGATCGCCCAAACAGACCTCAGTACTGGTTCAACAGTCACTCCTGTTTCTCCCTCCCCACCCTTCCCCTTCCTTCCAGCCCTTCAAAACCAAACTCACTGTATTTAAGTCGATTCAGACTCCTAGGACAGTATAGGACGCCCCTGTGGGTTTTGAGTACTTTACAGGAGTAGAAAGCCTCCTCTTTCTCCCATGGAGCAGGCAGTGGTTTTGAACAGCTGTCCTTGTGGTTAGCAACCCAATGTGTAACCACTACACCACCAGGTTCCTTTCCCAGGCCCTGATTACACCCAATAAACTTTCGTGGGGCCCTATATAGCTGACTCATTTCACTCAGCATAATGTTGTCCAGGCTGATCCATGCTACGACATGTATCAGAACTGCATTTCTCATTCTGGCTGAATCATATTCTATTGTGTGCTTGCACCACGCTTTAATTTCTCACTCATCTGTGGGTGGACACTGGGGCTGTTTCCATTACTGTGAATAATAAATAACATTGATGTGGAAGTATCTGTTTCAGTCCCTGCCTTAAATTCCAACCTGGGTCTGGAATTGCTGGGTTGTATGGTAATTCTTGGAACCCTGGTGGTGAGGCCGTTGAGCATTGGGCTTCTAACCAAAAGGTTGGCAGTTCAAGCCTACCAACCACTCTGAAGGGGGAATATGAGGCCATCTGTGATGGTCTTGGAAGTCCTCTCTACGGAAGTCATTCTCCTCTGTCTTTGGGTCCCTGTGAGTCTGAATCAGCTCGTCAGCCGTGGTTTGTATTGTTTCGTTTTAAAGAAAAATTCTAAGGACTCTTGGTTACACTGTGCTTAAATGCTAGGCTACAAAACAAAGGTTGCAAGTTTGAAGCCAATGGCTGTGCCCAAGGAGAAAGAGGTGCTTCTATAAAGATCTCGGCCTTGGAAACCCTCTGGGGCATGTGTCCTCTGTCCTACAGGGTGGCAGTGAGTCAGAATCAGCTTGACCACAATGCATTGACCAACGTGTCCTCCAGTGTGATAATAGCCATCCGTTGGGTGGTGATACAGGCCTGGCTTGACATCAGTCCCAAACCTCCCATTGACCACAAGCCCTGTCCCCACTCTAGGTTCTACATTGCTTGGCAGGGAGGTGTGGAGACGGAGGGAGAGCGAAGCCTTCCTGCTCTAATGCCCTCTCCTTTGAGGATCTCAGGAAGACTTCTCAAACCCGAACCCTACCTCATGCCCTAAGCCTGAGAAACCCCCAGAGCACAGACACCTGTGCTCTCATCTCAGCTCGCCACTTGGTTCCCCCACTCTGTTCTTCACCTTCCTGGGCTGGAAAATTCTGTGAAATGCGAGTGCATAGCCTAACAGTGTTTCAAAGCTCCAGAATTTTAAGAGATCCGTTAAAGCTTAGTATCATCGACTTGGGGTCTCTACAGCCTCTGTGCTGAGCCATCATACTAATTGCTCTCCCCAGAATTAAATCTGGAGGCTAGCTCTCATCGAACTTTTTGGCACATGCAAATAGATATCTTCTCTTCTGACAGTTATGATCAATTGGTAATGTCTTCCCGGAATGCTGTGTTGAGAAGGAGTCTGAGATCCCATTCAGGCTCAGAGGAGACAAAGCTATGATCAATTAGCAATGTCTGTCCTAGGCTGGGGATGGGGTAGCAGCCGCAGGATGGCAGGTGTTTGCCATCCTGATATTCAACATCGAACATTTGTTTGCAGCCTTAGCTATCTTTTCCCAAGGAGGACAGTGGCAAATTCCAAGGGCTAGGTTCTCTCTCACTGCCACCAGTGACTTGGGTAAGTAGCTCTCTGGGCCTCAGCTGCCTCCATCTGAAAAATGGGGATCATCAACCCTGGGTGTCTTTATGAAGCTGCAAGTGGATAAAGTCAATGAGAAAGTTGCAATGCCCGCTAACATACCACCTGTCTCTTTTGTTGATTTCCCCCCAGGAAACCTGGTACTGGCACGGGAACATCTACGCCAATAAAGTGGTCATGAGCGGAGTGAAGTGTTCAGGCACAGAGCTGTCCCTGGCCCACTGCCACCAGGATGAGGAGGTGGCCTGCCCCCAGGGCGGGCTGCAGTTGGGGGCCGGAGTCGCCTGCTCAGAAAGTGAGAGCTCCCGGGGGCGAGTAGCCCACCTTCCCCACCAGGATCCAGGAGAGAATCTGTCTCACCCTGGGAGGCTCTGCCCACTAGCTGAGCAAAAGGGTGGGGGGTGGGGGTGGACCAAACTCCCTCCTGCAGTGTCCATTCTGACTCACAGTGGCCCTGGGGGACAGAGTAGACCACCCTCTGGAGTCTTCAGGACCGTGACTCTTTACACAGGGGCAGATAGCATCGTCTTTTCCCCTGATGGGTTTGAACCTCTGACCTTGTGCTTAGCAGCTCAGCACTTGACCCACAGAAACACCAGGGATCCCAGCTAGGAGGACGGGAGGTGAATTCTAGTGACATGATAAGAGTCAGGGACAAAGGGAACTGCCCCCACTGGATACATCCCTCCAACCACCCAGCTCCTCCGGATGACACCGAGTAATGTGAAAGGGAGGAGGGACTTGGGAGTCTGGCAGCCTTAGGGTTTAGCTCCCAAGCCAGCGTTTACTATTAAGTGGCCTTGTCACATTTGATGGCTGGGGACTCTTTGTTCTCATCAATTAAATGTGGATCCGAATGCCTTCTTCCGCACCTTTCTGAGGAAGGTACTCAGCCAGCATCAGCTACCTCCCTTACCCCTGCTTTCTCCTTCCACACCCTGAGGGCACCTTCTCGGGGACTCCCTAAGAGCCTGGAAGAAAAGGAAAAGATAGAAGGGGAAATTCCAGGCAGGACCCCAAGAAGTAGCTTCATGCCAAGAGGAGTCAGGGGAGGGCCAGCTGGCCAGCCTTGTGGGTGTGGGAGTCTCCTGAGTCTATAACCCCCGTCTCCCCACCCAGCCCAGGACCTTGGGAAGCCACACTTGGCGATCACACTTGGGAGGCAGAGCAAGCCCAGGAACTGGCCGGGGACGTGGAGATCGTACCTGTCACTATTGGTTGACACTGGCTACGGTAGTTAACTGCTAGGGTCTAGAGTCAGTTTTTTGTTTGTTTGAAAACCTGGGAATTAAATGCAATGATGGATATATGCCAATGCCTAATCCATACTGATGTGCTGTCATTGGCCACCAAGGAGCTGGTGAGAGCTGCAGGAGCTCAGTCCATTCAGTCCTCCCTCCGACCCCTTCTCCTTTGAGACTCAGACAGCCTAAGGCCTGGAAAGCAAGATGCTCAACTCCTAGCAGCAGCCTCTCTGGGGAGACACACTCAGCCAGCTCCCCCCGGGGATAGAGCAAGCAGACAGAATGAGGTCACACACCCTTAGTGGGGGCTCTCTGCTTTAATGATGAACTTATGTTTGCAATGCCCCATCTTTTTCAAAATAAATAAATAAGATAATGTGAACATACACAAAGTTCAAGGAAGCATAAGTTAAACGCAGATGTTGAAGGATAGTTATTGGTGGGCGGGGTTAAAAGAGACAGGAGAAAGGCTGATTTGGGGTTTTAATTCTATAGGGTCCTAGGGGCAGCCCTGGTGGTGTCATGGCTACAAGTTGTGCTGCTAATTGCAAGGTCAACAGTTCAAACCCACCAGCCGCTCCCTGGGAGAACGATGGGGCTTTCTACTCCCAGAACGAGTTACAGTCTTAGAATCTCACAGGGGCACTGTCCTATAGGGTCATAGTGAGAGCAGGCTCTGTGGCAGTGAGTTCGGTTTTGGCATAGAGCCCTGTGGGAGAAAGATGAGGCGGTCTGCTTCCGCAACGAGTTGCAGTCTGAGAAACCCACAGGGGCAGTTGGGCCTTGCCCTCTGGGGTCACTATGAGGCCATGGCAGTAGCAGTGAGGCCTGGTCATGTTTCTGAAAGGTTACAGCTTGGACAACCAGGAAGCTGCTCCCCACTGCACGCATGGCATCACAGAGAGTGGGGATTGACTCAGCAGGAGCCACGTGTGCCCTCTGCGTCCCCGTGGCAGACCCACAAAGCGCCACGGGCCCTTGCCCACAGCGCCCGCAGCTTAGACTGCAGGCATCTCCTGAGCGTCTCTGCAGGAGGCAGTACAAGACTCTTGACTTCCTATGGCTCAATGCCATCTGGAGAGTGAGAGGGTAAAGCGCCTTCCCTCGCGATCACTTTTTCTGTTCCAAGCAATCATCATACATGCCGGCAGCCTGCAAGTCCGTTTCGTCTCTCTCTCTTTCTCTCCCTCCTCACCCACCACAGTCACTTGATTTTCACCTGTCAGTGTGGTTTCGGCTGCCTTCCACCGCACCCTCACTGCCTGTGACCACTCGGCTGCCATCTACAGGGAGACTACGGCCAAGGGCCCTCCCTGGGGCCCCACCCCCTGGGTTGCTTCCCCAGCCTCACACCAGACTAAACACTGGTCTCTCCCATGCACACGACTGCTTGGTCTGCTGTCCCCAAGGTTCGTGCTGTTCAAGTCTGCCTCCCCTGACTCTCCTTTGCATGGTGACCACACATGCGTCTATCCTCGTCCACACCTCAGAGCCCTGGCCCAGGCTACCTGTGCTGCTTGGAATGCTCCCTCCATGAACTCTGTGTGTGTGTGTGTGTGTGTGTGTGTGTGTGTGTGTGTGTGTGTGTTTCTAAACCAAAAACTATTGCCACAGGTCCATTCCAGCTCAGAGTGACCCCCATAAACAAGAACAAAACTGCCCCACCAGGTGTCCAGGGCTGTAACCTACTCAGAAGCAGACAGCCACGTCTGTCTCCTGCAGAGTGGCTGAGGAGTTCCAATCGCCAACTTTTAGGTTAGGGGCCAAATGCTTAACTCTGTGTGCCACCGATGCCCCCCGATGAAAGGCTTGGCCTTAGCAACCTTCCCCAATTGCTGCTCATCCTTCAGAGAGCAAGTGACACCTAACTCCCCCCAAAGACGCCTGTGCAGGGGACAGTGTGGCAATTAGCAGAAAGAGGCCACCAGCGCCCCAGTCATGTCACTTACTGAAAGGGACTTTAAAGAAATAAAGTTATGCACGCAAATTTACTACAGGCTGCTTATCTTAGCTGTAGCCACAACAGGAAACAAGAAAAGAAAAGAATAGCATCCGTAATCAGACAACATAGGGTGGGATTATGAATCCAGTGTGATACATTACCGTGAAATCGGTGTGGGTTAACAGGGAAATAGGCTCTGCGATCTTTTAAGGGGAGCAGTATCCATGGACTATAAATGTTGCACACCTTAGAAAACAAATTGACGTCGTGGTCTGGAGGATCAGAATGAGTTATCAACTGGGTGTGCTCTCTCAGTAGCACATGTGTAGGTTGTCTGTCATCCTGGACATCTGAAGTTTAAGCCACTCGGAGGTCAGGGGCAATCATGCACAGACTCTTGTGACCCCTTGCTCAGATTCTACAACTGGGCTAGTGGTTGGAGAGGTGTGACGAGGACGCCCAGAGAAGGGCCGGCTTAATTTGGGGCAGGGACTCAAGAAGGCCAAGTAACCTGGAGGAGAACTGGAGTCAGTTCCAGAAGGGCTGGGTGCCAGGCAGGAATCGGAAGTGAGGGCCCCTGGCCTTGTTCATCACCCTGTCTGCCCCTCCCCAGCGGCTCCTGACCTAGTCCTCAACGCCGAGATGGTCCAGCAGACCACCTACCTGGAAGACCGGCCCATGGTCATGCTGCAGTGTGCCCTGGAGGAGAACTGCCTCTCGGCCTCGGCCGCCCACACCAACCCCACTACGGGCTACCGCCGCCTCCTCCGCTTCTCCTCCCAGATCCACAACAACGGCCAGGCTGACTTCCGACCCAAGAATGGCCGCCACGCCTGGATCTGGCACGACTGCCACAGGTGAGCCTCCACCCACTGTCCCCAGGTGCCCAGCCAACATCGCGCAGACCCACAGAAAGGGGATTGGAGAGAGCCGGGGGCCACCCAGCAGAGTGGGTTAGGTGCTGGGCTGCTAACCTCATGGTCAGCGGTATGAAACCAGCGGCTGGAGAAAGAGGAGTCTTCCTACTTCCCTGAAGAGTGGGAGTCTCAGACAAGCACGGGGACAGTTCGACCCTGCCCTGTAGGGTCGCCATGAGTTGGGATCAGTTCCATAGCAGTGTGTGTGGTTTTGAAGTGCCCATCCACCGGTCTGGCAGAATGGTTACCCCAGGGCGAAGTGAGGCGGTGGTCTACACTCCCCTGGGGCCCAGGCCTGCCTCACCTGACCCAGCCCTGCTCTTGTCTCCCACACCCCTCCCATCTGGAAATCACTTGTTGTGAGCCCCCGACCCCCCCCCCCCCCAAGGTCCCTTCCCTAGCTTGCACTCAGCCTTTGCCAAGGTGTGCCCCATAGCCAGGGTCCCCGGGCACGCTCGGGAGGGTGCTCTGGGGATCTGCGGCTGTTGGCCATGCAGTTTATTTTTAAATGTAGCTTAAGCCGCAGTACAAATTGTAAAGACCTGTGAGAAGACAATGGGTGTGGAGGCAGGAGCGCTAGGCCAAGAGTCACAAGACCTACTCTCTAAACACAACTTGTCTCTTAACCGGCCGCATCTGCTGGCCAGCCGGGCCACATCGCCTGGGACACATCTGGTGTCCCTGCCGGTGGGTGGAGCTAGCCTCAGGGCTGTAAATGCTGCGCAGAAACAGAGTGGGGTCCTAGCACTAAGGCCAGCTCCAGCTGGAACCACGTGAGTGCATGCGTGTGCTCGCGCATACGTGTGGTGTATTCTTGATTCTTTTTTTTTTTTAAGTTTTTAATCGTTTTATTAGGGGCTCATACAACTCTTATCACAATCCATACGTACATCAATTGTGTAAAGCACATTTGTACATTCACTGCCTTCATCATTCTCAAAACATTTGCTCTCCACGTAAGCCCCCGGCATCAGGTCCTCATTTTTTCCCCTCCCTCCCCACTCCCCGCTCCCTCATGAGCCCTTGATAATTTATAAATTATTACTTTGTCATATCTTGCCCTGTTCGACGTCTCCCTTCACCCACTTTTCTGTTGTCCATCCCCGAGGGAGGAGGTCACATGTAGATCCTTGTAATCGGTTCTCCCTTTCCAACCCACTCTCCCTCTACGCTCCCAGTATCGCCACACCACTCGTCCTGAAGGGATCATCTGTCCTGGATTCCCTGTGTTTCCAGTTCCTATCTGTACCATCCTCTGATCTAGCCAGACTTGCAAGGTAGAATTTGGATCATGATAGTGGGGGGTGGGGGTGGGGGTGGGCATTTAGGAACTAGAGGAAAGTTGTATGTTTCATCGTTGCTACATCGCACACTGACTGGTCACATGCTCCTGCTGGGGCCTGAGCTGGGCAGGTAGAGGGCATAGAAGCAAGCCTGCTGGATGGGAAAGGAAGGGAGGGCACCTCTGTTATTCTACCAGAGGCCTGGGTGTGGTGGCTCCCTGTCAGTGCCACAGAGAGCTCCTGAAGAAAACCAGGCACCGGTTTGTACCAGATTCCAGCATCCACAAGTGAGTCCCGAGGGCCAGCAGGCTCGGTCTCTCCAGAGAAATGCTGACTCCCAGGCTCCCCTGCAGACCTACGCATTGCAGCCTGCAGTTTACCTGGCTCCCCACGTGTGCAGGTCTAGATGAACTCCGGCCTAGATGACCTTGAAGCTTCCTTCCAGCTCCAAAATGTGATGCCACCCCTGTTAGGGGCCAAGAAACTAGCACTGACCAAGCCCCTTCTAAGTGCGCACACATGCACTAACCCTCGTTTCACAGTGACAGAATTGGAGGCGCGAGGTTTCTGCAACTGTCCCAGGATAACACGAGGAGTCGACGGGGCGGGGATCCCGACTTGGGCCTGCCCAACTCCGGAGGACTTTCTTTCCCTCATCTCTGCCGACTCCCAACGGGAAAGCCATCTCTGGCTTCTGCAGATCACAATGTGGATCCTCATCATATTCCAATCAGTTTGGGGAATACAGTTGTTCAACCTGTTTCCAATGAAGAGACCCTGGGTATACCCTATACAATTGTTTTTCCTATACAATTGTATCTGAGTGTTCTGGACATCTGAATTAGCCAAGACTGTGTGCGGGGCCTTAAGATAGAAAGAAGAGTGTCGGCCTTCCCCAGCTGCGAGCCCAAGAGTGAACTAAGTGTACCGGTGGTGACCTCCTGTAGGGAGCATCTGGGTGGATGCCCCACATCTGCAGGGGCTGACACTGCCCAGGGTCTGTAAGTGGAAGGAAATTGCATCTCTGCCCTCCATATGGTGGTCCACCCAGAGATTACTGGGGACATATACTTATGGCCTCGCCAAGGAACCCTTCAGTCCTCTAAGAATAGTCACATGATGACATCACTGAAGTGCTTTTTCTGGTCTGGAAGCCCTGGGGGTGGCCCGCCCCCCGTGGTCTGGTCCTTCCTTGATTTGCAGATGTTCCAGTCGATGGTGGGGGGTGCGATGAGTAGGAGGCAATACGCCGGCTAAGCCCCTGTCCCTTCCCCAGCTGGGGCCACATCCCAGGAAGCCATGGCCAGGCTGGGCAAAGGTGAGAGGACCAAGAGCAAGAGACTTCTCCAGGCTTTGAGGGGGGCCTTTGCAACAGGACTCTGGCCCCAAACCTCTGGGAATCCCTTTAGGAGCCAGAGGAGAGCTGGTCCTTCCTCCCCTCTGTGGGAAAAGAAACCACCATTTAGAAGACTTCGCATTTGGTTTCAGCAGATGTGCTGCACTCTGAAGCCCATGTGTGGAGCCCAAACTGAGCACCACTGGCTCCAGTTAGTATGCATGGGGGACACTCACTTCCGATTGATTTCACCCAGCAATGAGCCACCGAGCTGTGTTCTTTGAGAACCCCAAGATGAAACATAAAGATGGGCACCCCGGGAGAGTTTCCCAGACATTATCCTTTCATTCCTAGACACTGTCTTTTGTGTGCCTGGTGGCCCTTGGCTGAGGATCTTGGGGGTCCCCTGCTTCCTTCACCCAGGGGCTAGGATGCACCCAACACAGCCTTTGACTAGGTACCTCACTAGGGTCTGGGGTATCCCTGCCCCCGGGGCTCCAGAGACTGTGCCTGCCCCTCCGTGGATGTCCTGGGTGAGGAGATATAGGAGCTGAAGGAGCAGAGAGGTGGAGGCTCCAGCCGGGGTAACAGCTTCCCTCTGAGCTACAGAAAGATGCCACGCTGCTGCAAAGGGAGACTTCTGCTTGCTCTGCCCTGACTCCCCATGTGCTGAGCAGTCCTCTGGTCCTGCAGGGGTGGGGACAAGCCCTGCAGATGTGAGGGAGGCTCTGTTTTCATCATACCTGTGGAGCTGTGTTCCTCCCCAGGGGCCGCCGCTCACACGTGGGACTGTTGGGCAGAGCGAGCCAAGGAGCCCTGGCCCTGTATGGCTGGGTCCCCTGGGACTGGACCCCGTACTGAGTGTTCTCTAGACAAACTCCGGAGGATGTGTGCACTCTTGGTCTCTGCAGGGTGCTGGCCCGTGGCTCCATTCTGGAGGCCTCACCGCAGGTGTGAGACTGATTGTGGGACAGATTTCTCAAAGTCTGACCAGGCACCATCAAGTTTGGACCCCTGGCAGCCCCATATGCATCAGACCTGAGCACCACGGTGCTGTGTGCAATGGCCGGTTTCCCCAAAGTAGATGCCAGACTTTTCTTCGAAGGCACCCCAGGCAGGACTCGAACCTCCCACCTCCCAGTCAGTTGATGAGCACTGTCACCGTTTGCACCGCCCAGGGACTCTGAGGGGAAAGAGAGAGAACCAAAAGGTCTTTGGCACAAAGTCCACGGATTCTCTGGTTGAATATTTCATTTAGACTCTCAAAGACCTATGATAAAAACAAACAAACAGAGCCTCCCATCTTTCTCGGAACTAGCTTGTTCTGTCACGCAATCGCTCCTGCCTGGACTAGCGTCATCTCTTAAAATAACATCTGCATTGCTGTCAGCCTGCTTCCTTCACCCAGGGACTGGGATGCACCCATCTCAGCCTTTAGACTGGGGCCAGTCAGAGCTAGGTAGCTCACTAGGGTCTTGGGTATCCAGCTCTCTTACGAGCATTCTGGGGTTTCTCTGCAAGTCTGAGTTTCCGGGTCTATACCTTGAGCCCTGGCAGTGACGTGGTTATGCGTTGGGCTGGGATCCACAAGGCCAGCAGTTCGAAACCACTAGCCTCTCCTTGGGAGCAAGATGAGGCTTTCTCTTCTCATAGAGATTTACAGTCTCGGAAACCCACAGGGGCCATTCTACCCTGTGGGTGGGCATCAACGCGATGGCGTGCGTTTGGTTTGGGAGTTTGGGGTCTCTGTGATCAGGCCTCCTCTTTTTAGGCTCGGAAAGGTCAAGACACCTTGAACTGGAGAGGGAAAGACGTCTTCACAGTCAGCATGCTTCCTCCCATCCTCCCAGCGCCGGCCTGTTTCTTGGGACATCCTGGAGAAGTCTGGGGGTGCGGAGGTGGGGTGCTTCCAGGTTCTCAAACCTTCCTACTGGGAACAAGATGTAGCCCCAGTTGCTGTGTACTTTTCATCATCGATCAGAGGCTCCAGGACAGAAGCTAGTTTAAATTGGGAGCTTCAAACCAGTGGTTTCTTTATTTTTTTAAATCATTTTACTGGGGGCTCATACTGCCCTTATCACCATCCATCCATCCATCCATCCATCCATCCATCCATCCATCCATCCATCCATCCATTGTGTCAAGCACATTTCCAACACTTTCTTTCTACTGGAGCCCTTGGTGCTGTTTCTGGGAAGGAAAATCTAAAGATGAGGGGAGGAATTTTAAACCAGGTCCACAGGAGGCCGGAGAGGTGGGCCATGGTCCGCCCTACAACAGTGTCTGGGAACTCCTGTCTGAATTCTGTTTAGACAACGAACCATAAACGTGTTTCTCCTCAGTCTGTCCAGTCGGTAAACAGAGTAACATAAGCCCCTCTCTGAACGAGGCAGACGTTTTTTAGGCAGTGAGTCAGACCTCCTGTCTCATCTGGCTGCTTCGGGAAGCCAGACAAGATACTTTCAAAGTCATCGCCGGCTGCTGCAGAATGCCTCCTTGTGAGTGTGTTCGGCGAGCCACTCGCCCAGAACCGCTGCCCCGGAAACGCCAGCCAACTGGGAGAGACCCACTGAGGAGCCTCTTGTATTATTTTTAGTGTCAGCAAACACAGGAGGAAGAAAAATGAGCCTCTAATTTCCTCTCCAAAAACCTATCCTTTTAATTCTCCTCTTCCCCCAGCACTCTACGTCTGGTCACCGGGGAGGGAGCCCCAGAAAACAGCACGATGGCCGGGGCATGGGGGGGGTGTGTCAGGAAGCTGGCGTCAGGAGTAAGGAGGCTGGGGAGGATGCTGACAGGTGCCAAGGACCCCCCTCCATGACAAGCCAGGCTGAAGCTCTTGTATAGGCTCTGTCTTATTCGATCCTTACAGCATCCTTCAGCCTGGGGAACAAATAGCCTTTCCGCTAAGCCAAACAAGCGACTCGACCCGCCCGTACCTGGATGCCTTACTCTTCAGATTCCCACAGTGCCAAATGCCATGTCCCGACAGATAGGCGGAGGCAAGCCGTATGTGAGTGTGTGAATGGTTGCCGTTGTTCTCGACACATGTGGCAGCTTAGGTTCAACCTAAAGAAGGCCTGCTTTCTTCAGCCCTGGGTCTGTCCCAAACCCGCCTGAGAGGTTCAAGAAGGCGCCCCGGCTCCAGGTGGCAGCCAGGTGTCCCCTTGTTTATTCTGAGCCCCTTTCTGAGAACCGGCCTCTGTCCTGGCCGCTGCACCAGGGAGGAAATGGTACATCAGGATGTAAGCTGTCGTCCAGGTGAAGGGCGGCAGTCGCACAAGTCCGGGGCACACGCTCTGAGGATGAGTCGGCCAGCTCCCCATGCCCGCAAGAGCTCTCTTCTCCCCTGGGTCAGGAACACCAGCTCCCTGCAGCTCCCTGGGGCTGCCCTGCACCTTCCAGGGTCAATGAGGAGCGGTGCAGGCCCTGGGGTCCACTCAGACCCCCCTCTCCGCCTGTCACCGCTGCGTGCCGTCGCATATTCAGGCCTCACGCCCATCGTTGGTGATGCTCATTCTTCCTGCTGGCCCCTTCCTCTACCTGCCCACCCTCCTTTCTGCTTCCTTTCCTCTCCTACCGTCGTCCTACTCGAAAGATTATTTAAGAAGACATGTGGGTTTGACTCTCCTCCGTCTGAAGAAAGGGTGACACGTAGAAATGGTCGGTGCGTTCCAATTTAGACCTAAAGCAGGGCCCTGGTGACGAAGAAGGAGGAGGAGGAGGAGGAGGAGGAAGAAGAACAAGAAGGGAGAAGGAGAACTGGGTCCTGTGCTTCTCCGTTCACCTCACTAATTAATACCCATGGTGCTCCCCTGAAGTATGTATACGCACTCCCACTGAGTGGATCAGAGAACTTGCTCATCAGACTCCAGGGCCTATGCATTGAAGCAGCACCACCCTCACCCGCTTCTGCATCTGCCTGTCCTTCCCCAGTCTCCACCTCGGTGCCCACTCCTCTCCCAGCCTGACCACTCTTTGGACCATAGTTTCCTATGCTAATTTGGCCTACTGCCCCCTTTTTGGGGGGAAAAATTACTCGGTGTCGTCCTCCCCCCGCCTAACCCCCCCCCCCCCTCCACTGCAATTAAAAACCATGTAGCCCATAATCCAGGATAAAGTGTAGGTATTGCTTTTGTAGCCCAACCTCCCCGCCCGATGGCTCACTTTGGGAAGCACTATTCTGGAGCCTGCTGCTCTGGGTGGCTTTGGAAGCACACTGCCCACAAGCACAGAAGCTGCTCCACACAGTGACCTCCCACCTCTCTCTCGCTCCTAGGCACTACCACAGCATGGAGGTGTTCACCCACTACGACCTGTTGAACCTCAACGGCACTAAGGTGGCGCAGGGCCACAAAGCCAGCTTCTGCTTGGAGGACACAGAATGTGAAGGAGGTATCCCTTTAGGGAGGGAGGTGGGATCTTTGGAGGGATACTGGGCTGTGTCATCCTAGCCCCGCAGGCTCCGGACACGTCTGTACTTAGGGCTTCACCAGCCGGACTATAAAGAGGCGGCTCTCTGAATAGGCTGCATGAGTTCTTCCACAGCTACTGCTTGAGGGTGCAGGGTGTGGGGAGGCCTGATCACCGCGGACCTCCACACAGTCTCCAGGGTACATATGCTTCAAACCCTTCACCCTGACCCATCTAGCCTTCACCAACTGGCTGTCAGGATCCTTCCTTCCCACCTACCCCACTGCCAATTGGCTCATATCCCACCCAGCCATTCAGATCCAATGGCAAATTTCCCCGCTCTGAGGTCCCCAGTCTCCCCTGGCCAAGCCAGCGCTCTGCTCACCCTTCCAGCAGGGCCTCGTGCCTGCACTGGGACAAGCTGTTTGCCATCCCATGGGACCTACGGTTCTCATTCCTCTTGGTGTCCCCAATGCCTAGAGCAATGCCCCCACCTGAGAGCCTTCCCAGAAGTGTGTACTCATTGAGCTGTTCACTGGAGCGCCCAGCCACTGAGTACTGCAGTCAAACAGCAAGCTGTTTCTGCACGCCAGCTGTGCCAGGCAGTGAAGGTGGCAAATAAGCCAGCCCTAGAGCCTCCGCTGGAATTGCTGCTAGTCCACAGGGAGCCAGGAGAACACTCCCAGGAGGCAAAAGAAGACGCACGTGAGCGGTCCCAGATAAAGGACACTCATTCCTAGGCTAACAGCCCGGACAGTAAAGTCAGGATGGACTAACGTGATCCGAGGAGGCTCTGTGGGGCAGGGGAAACTTGAGCCAGCCTGTGGGGATGCCAGAGGCTGGGTGGGAATCGAGGAGCTCGGCCGCATTGAGACGGGCAGCTGATAAACGCACGCGGAGGGCAGGGCTGGGCTCCTGAGCCCAGATGACGTTGAGGCTACAGGGCGTGTGGGGTGTGGTTCTGTGAGAGGGTCAGGTGTGGGCAGTGGGAGTGGACAGTGACAGGCCACCTGCCGTCCCGCCTGCAGACATCCAGAAGAGTTACGAGTGTGCCAACTTTGGCGAGCAGGGAATCACCATGGGCTGCTGGGACATTTACCGCCATGACATCGACTGCCAGTGGATCGACATCACCGACGTGCCCCCGGGGGAATACCTGTTCCAGGTGAGGGGGGAGGGAGGGGGCTGCAGGCTCCAGGTGATGGGAGAATGGTCCTTTGGACTAGGGAGTGTGGGGAAGACGGAGCGGGGCCATTCTCTTTCCTTAAGCGAGGAGGCAGGCTGTCTGCAGACCCCACACTTACACCCAAAGGCCATCAAGGGTTCATGAGCTAACATGTGTGTGAGGCATGTGGGGGGGTTGAGAAATAGGGACTGTTGGGACCGGTGGGGGACTCGAAACAGCCAACGATATTTGCATTTAATCCCGTTAACTAAACCCAGTGCATGCAAAGCAAAATGCATTTGGTTCTCAAGCCAAGCATTTGTGCCACGGAGTCTCAAGGAATCCACACACCTCTCGCCTCCTTCCGGGTGGCCTTCTCACTCCCCCCCCCACGTCTTCCTGCCTGTGCTGTCCAGCAGAAAGGAACAGCTTAGGACCTATGGAGCCGTTCATGCTCGTTTGTGAGCAACCCCTCCCCGAAATATCTGCCGCAGAAAAGGATCTACAGAGAGAACACTCCCCTGGCAGCGAAGGGCCCCCAGAGTAGCAAATGCTACTGCCAGACAGCCTATCAGCGCCTGGTAGCTGGCAACATAGCATGCCCAGGGCCAGTCCTGATGCCTCTGGGAAGCAGCTGCATGCTCCTGCCAGCACCCTGCTTGGTGGGAGGTGACCCTAAAGGCCAGTCAGCCCTAACCAAACCCAATCCACAGCGACCCTGTAGAGCAGGGGTTCTCAACCTTCCTAACGCCATGACCCTTTTATACAGTTCCTCATGTTGTGGTGACCCCCCAACCATAACATTATTTTTGTTGCTACTTCATCACTGTCATTTTGCTACTGTGATGAATTGGGCGACCCCTGGGAAAGGGTAGCACCAGCCTCGGGTTGAGAACTGCTGCTGGGGAGGGTCTCCCAAGCTGTGAAGCTCCACGGTGGGAGCAGCAGCCCTGTCCTTCTCCCTCGGAGCGGCTGGGGCACCGGAGGCTCTGAGGAACCAGTCCCCTCCCTCCTGGTGCAGGTGGCTGCCTTTCACCCTTGCAGCCCCACCCATCTTCCTTCCAGCCTTGCCCAGTTGGGTGACACAGTGGGTGACCAGAACGGTGTCATTCTGCTTTGAAATCCTTCCCAAAGTGGCCTTCAGCCCAGGTAGTGGGCCCTGCCCTGGAGACCGCTGAAGCAGCGACACCTGTGGAGAACTGACCACAGCGGGGCTTGGGAAGGGTGCCCGGCCCTGCGAGAGAGAGGCTGGAAATCAGACAGCCAAGCACTTTTCCACCCACAAGCCCAGAACCGCAGACTGGAGGCCCTGCCAAAGAGCGGTGTGCTCCTTCCTTCACCAAGTGATCGCCGCCCGGTCTCTGCCCACGTCGCCGGCACAGGCTGCTTTCCATCTGAGCTGCCATCACCTTTCTGGATTAATTCATATCATCTGTGTTCCCACAAATGCCGTTGGCTTAATGCCGATGCTGCCTAAGCCTTAGCAATACCTTATGTCAGTGGGGGAGTCACCAGTAATATATCCTTGTCCTACAGCCAGTCAACCAAGTCACACCAGCGCTACATCCTGAGTTCTCTGCTTCTCCACTATCTGTATGACGACCCCAACCAAAAAACTCACTGCCAGTGAATTGATACTGCCTCAGAGCAACCTTATAGGACAGGCTAGAGCTGCCCCTGTGGGCTTGCAGGACTATAACTATGGGAACAGAAAGCCTCATCTTTCTCCCACAGAGCAGCTGGGGGTTTCAAAACGCTGACCTTGAGGTGGGCAGCCCAACACTTAACCGCTAGCCCACCAGGGTTCCCCCGAGGTAGGGCAGAGTGCTGTGGAAAAGGACACAGCAGGAACCAGGACGTCAGGCTGGCAGGAACCGGGGACTAGAGGAAAGGGGTTTGCTCCTTTGCAAAACTCAGTGGACTTTAGTTGTGTGGCTCTTTTTCTGATAGCCTGCAAATCCTTCCAGGAGCTGACAGCCTCGTCTTTCTCCCACTGAGCAGCTAGTGGGTTTAAACCACCGACCTTGTGGTTAGCAGTCCGACACCTAACCCACAGCGCCACCACAGCCCCTTTATACAGTCAGAGGCATGTTAATGCCTCTGATGATTCCAAGAATACCTCCCTTGTGATGGGCATGGAATCTTAGAGGTGAGAAGGCCCTGCCGGCACCTCTCCATCCCTAAGTGAACCCTATCACAGAGGTCAGTGTCTGGAATGAGCAGAATTATTCCCCTGGAGGACTTGTGAGCTCAGAGGCTGGACTGAATTTGTTCCTGGGTTCCTGGTGACCCTTTCTTTATCCTCAGTCTTACAATTTCCTGGATCCACAGAGACCTAATCACGTCTCGAGCCCTCGAAGAGCCGTTGTAGGGGAGAATTGGTGTATGTGTTGAGCTGCTGCCCTCAAGGTCAGCAGTTTGAAACTACCAGCCGCTCTGCAGAAGAAAGACCAGGCTTTCCACTCCCATCGAGATAGACTGTCTCGGGAACCCACAGGGGCAGTTCTACCCTGTTTGACAGGGCCACGATGAGTCGGCATCCACTCGATGGCAGCGGGTTTGGCTTCGTTTTATGGACAACCTGTTTCAGCCCCCACGCTGGTCCTGACAGTGTCAGGGGGGCTGACACCACAGTGGATGATGTTTTTGTAAAACTGCCCTTCGTTAATTGTTTCAAAACCATTTTTCTAACTCACTGCACTTCAGGGGCTCCTGAAACCCAGCTCGTGTATCAATAGGCCTACCCAGCTACAAGTGGGTGCCGATTCACTCTGAACCTCCAGAGGCCCTCTGGACAGAGCCCTCATTGTCACCCAGCTCCAGGGAGGCTCTGAGTCACGTGGTTCTCACGCCTTCCCCGCACACCATTGTTTTTGAGTTGCTGCGGGTGTCTCTGTAGTTGCGGGTTTTGTCAACTTGTCCTGGTGTTTGGGTTTCAACGTGGTGGTAACTAGGACTTGTAAGCCTCTATCAGTAACCTCTCTTGAGAATGAAGCCATTCAGGGGAGGGGGGAGGAAAGTTAAGAGAGGCTTCTGCTCAGTTACTGATCATGTTGTAACAAATAATGCTGTCACTCATTGCAGAAAGATTGAGAGTCACTTTGCTCTTAGCCTGCACACCATCTGAGAAATACTACATTTAAGCTAGTTAAGAGATCACATTAGTCTATGATTAAAATGAGTCATACACATTACTAAGGTGTCTACACTAGACTACACCTGATGGTGCAGATGTGACCTGTGGGACTGCTCCCTGCAAGGTCAGCAGTTCAAAACCACCAGCCACCCCCACGGGAGAAAGGAGAGGCTTTCTAGTCCCATAAAGAGTTACCATTTCGGAAACTGACAAGCGGAGTTCTACCCTGTTCTATAGTGTCACTGTGAGTCAGGACCAATTGGCTGGCAGTGAGTTTGGTCTGGCTCTGTGTGGCCTGGGGTGGGAGGGTGGTACGGCGAGGTACCACCTGGGGTGACGCCAAGCCTGAGGATACCGCTGCAGCCTCCCACGGGGGTGGGAAACAGGGCTGGACACAGGCCCTATGACACAGGACTCGGGCCTGCTGGCCAGTTTGCTGTGGCATCTCATGATCAGACCGACCTGCCTGCCAAAAGGTCCTGTAGGTCACACCTCTGAGAAAGGTTCTGTCACTAGCAGCCTGCCTCCTGCCCGCGTGGGGCAGGCCTCCCTCTCCCACCCATGCCCCACCCCACCTCGGCTTCCAAAGGGCGGGGTCCTGTGAGGACAGGCCTGCCTGTCCCCCATGCCCACTCCTCCTCTGCCCCAGCGCCAGCTTGTGCCTTACCCCATCTCCCCGTTTCTGCCCCTCGCAGAACCCACTCTAAATGAGAGCCCTTGCTCTCCCTGCTCCTTCGGAATATTGTACTTGCTCAGAGCTGGGAGAGGAGGAAGAAAGAGGGGGCAGGGAGGCCATCTCCACAGTGGACCCAGAGCCCTGGGAGGGCCTAGCAGAGCAGGACAGAAACTTCTCCATGACCTCGACCGACCATCACGTTGCAGAGGGAGCTCCAAGCCCCAGTCACATAGCGAGGACGGAGTACCGGCAGCCAGGAGCCAGCTCCCCAAAGGAGCCCCTTCCCTGCTCTCCACGCCCTGACCCTACCACTTCCTACCTCCCACTCCCCTTCTTTTCAACTTGCTGTTCTGTGGCTTCTTCAGACTCCAAATCCCACCTCTCCCACAACCTCAA